GCGGGGCGGGGAGGGATTGGCATACAGAAAGGTTAAATGAGTTGCCCAGGTCCCTGACATCACGCCCGAATCTTTACAGGGGTAGTGAGGACATTGTGTTATTTAATACCTACCAGCTTCCCACAGCCACCCAGGGCGGCCATGTGCTCTGCCTCCTGGCTAAATGGCATTTGCTGGAAGTCAGCTAACCATGAAGGGCAGGAAATCATGGGTTCAGGCTCTGGCCCTCTTTCTGCTGCTCTTGAGAGACTGATGGCTATGCCAACCAGAATAGAGTCAAGAAGAGTAGGGAGAAGGTAACCTTTCCACCCCATCACACAGGGGTGACACTTTGTATGTGTGGGCCCAGGGAGGAGACTGATGCATGCAAGACAATGCTGCTGCTGAAACAGCAACAGGCTTCTAAAGGGAGTCTGTGTAACTCACCCAGGAGACCCCAGAGGTCAGATGACCCCAGTCTCAGAAAACTTCAACAAGAGATAGCCTCAAGCTTCATCTTGGGAGTCTGTTCCTAAATTCACCACCTTTCTTATTTTGTGTCTACCTTAAATTCCTATTTGCATGTTTTAAAGTGTTTGATGCTCCAATTGACATGAATTATTCTATTCTGGTTCCACTACATCCGTTACACTTGGGAGGCCCGATAATTATTCCCCTCATTCCAGTGAAAAAGAGGCTGTCAGGTAATCTGATCATCTGATAATATCCAAATTGAGTGTGACTTCCTCTCAGGGTGGACAGTATTTCCCAGTAGTTCTGCTGGTTATACTTGCCCCCATTTCAGGCTCCCACTAGCAACTGAGCAAGAGCATTGCCTGATTCTTGCAAGTTAACCTTTGGTGATTGATTCCCAGCAGAGTGCGTGCAAACGAAGAAAATAGCACTGCTGCCTCAGGAGAAGGGACAGGCTTGTGCCTGTGGGTCACCCAGGTGACCAAATGCCTTTGTGGGGGCCAAGCCCAAGACCTCACAGGTGGCTAGCCAACAGGGTTGAGTAGAGAAACTGGTTCTTGGCCACTCAAAGAACAACATTCAATGTGAACAGCACAGCGATTTTTAGTGTTACAGTCCACAACCTTGAGATCTATCAGAGCATAGGTTGGAAGTAGCATGCCACAAGACCTCTCACTCCCTTCTCTTGCCCCCTCAGTCTGAAATCAAGGTCTTCACAGCCATTCATAAAAGCCAAGGGAGAGGCTGAGACAGTACTTTCATTTCCTGCCATGAAAATCCTTAGTGGTGAGTGGCAGGATAGCTGTATGATCTTCTCCACTTAGGCAACAGGCTTCTTACATTTCTTCCAATCAAGTTCCCATGGTAATTCACTGGGGTGGCTGAGGCTGTGGGGCTGGAGTCAAATTCAGAATTGAAAGACCAGTATCCATTCCTCCTACCACCCAAGCCCAGGTCTCTGATGATGCAGCTTCATACACCACAGCTTGTCCGAAGACCCCAGGGACTTTAGACACACTTGTAATGGTGGAAAGCA